ATTTGCAGCAACTTGGATGGAACTGGAGAGCATTAGCATTATCCTAAGCGAAATATCTGAGGAATAGAAAACCAAACACCGTATGTTCTCACTAATAAGTGGGAGCCAAACCATGGATATGCACAGGCACAAAAAGATATAACTGACATTGGAAACCAAGAAGGGGGAGGTGTGAGAGAGAAACTTACCTATTGGGTACTATAAACACCATTCACTATTCTGATGACAGACACACCAAAAGACCTGACTTAAGCATTATACAAGGTATCCACATAACAAAAACATTTGTACCCTTTCAATATTTTTAAATAAAATAAAAAGAAACACTCATGTAGAAAATAAGTTTTTATAATGAATTGTATTGATTTTAGGATTAAAAGTAATATCACATCCTCTGACTTGATAATAAAATGTAGTTCAGTGTTTCAATCTATTGAAAAGAAAACTATTATAATTTTTCTCAGTGACTTTGTGAAATCTCTCTACACTTGGCCCATCACTGACCAAAAAAAAAAAAAAAATTATAATTCAGCAGGGGGTTGAAATGGAAGAAAAACTGACGATGTTATTTTGACAATGTTGAACTCCATGAGTTCACGTATTCCTGGAAGGTAGCAAAGGTCTGGAAATCTCTCCAACATTTTGTATTCTGAAAAGACCGTCCTGCTCTCATAGATTCCAAGATAAGACCTACTCTATTGTTCTTCAGTGAATATGACTTACCTGGACACCTGCCTCTTTGAAGCTCTTGGCCTCCTTTCTTTTCTTTGAGATGTTCCTCATTAATTAACATTCTTCCTATTGTAATAGTCTGAATAAAATCATCTCCTTAAATGTCCAGTGCATTTTATCTTTACAGTTCCTTTAAAATAGAAAAAAATCTGGAGGAGGATCAAATTGCAGTTGGAAAGTGAAATGACTTTGAAATTAAGCAGGACATTATAGGATGATAGTGTTTTAAAGCAATGTTTTACAGGGAAAGAGTAGGTTGGCTCCATTCCAAAAATGAGACAGTTGGAGTGTAACATTGCTTTGCCCAAGGCCTTGCAGGAAATAACAGCAGCACCAGGTACAGAATTGTAGTTGAAATCGCAATTTTCTTACTACCTCTTTTTCTTGCTTCTTTGTGGGTGTTGTTTGATTGCATTGGACTTTTGACCTTAAGAATGATTATGGAACTAGGTATAATTGCTTTACTCGTTCATCTCCATGTTTAAAAAAAATCATATATAGAGAGGTGTGTGTGTGTGCGGGGGGGAGAGACAGAGAGATTTGAACAGGCTTATGAACGGCACAATAAGGAATAACAGACCTTACCCATGAAGACTTGCAAGGTTTAAGATAATAGGGTCACAAGTTATGATTTTGTGGCAACTCATATGCAAATATTTGTAATCCCAGTTACTCTCCTACTTAGAAACATGGCAAAGGCTTGTGGTGGCAATAACGGTTATGGAAGGAAGCCAATTTTCAATGAATAGGACTTTTTTAATATAAGTATTTTATACACTACCCAAACTTCCATTATAACAAGGGAATGCCAGCAGGTACACATAAGAAGGCTCTGCTTCAGGGGGAAAAATTAACTAAAAATAAAAAAGTTTCTTCAATTACAGTAATCTAGAGTCTACAGTAACCCCACAGTTTCTGGGCAGAAAGGTGAGTGAATCTGACATGGCAGGTTCTAGTGACAAACAAGGATTCTGAAAGAAGTAAGTGCTGACATTTGAATATGGCTAGAAATTTCATTTGTTCCTAAAATAATTTTTCTTCTAAATATTCTTCATGTTACTAATTGTGACCCATTTTATCATAATAGCACACAATAGGAAATAACACTGATGTCCCACAGGTGGAGATGGGTTAATTAACTATGGTGCACCCATTCAGTGGACTACTCTGCAGCACATAAAAATTAGTTTGCAGGAAAAAAGCATCAAAAATTGTTTATAATCCAGAGAAGAAAATCTGGCTACAAATGACATAATTTAGACACTTTCCCCAGTGGACGATAAGTTCAATAAAGGCAGGGGCCATATCCGTCTTTGGTTACTGCATCCCCAGCAGACAGCACAGTGTTTGTGCAATATAAGTGCTTAAATTAATGAATGAAAGTAAATACACAGTGGTTCCATTAGAAAAATATAATTCATGCATAGAAAACCTCTAAGAATATACATTAAAATGTTAACTGTTTAATTCTGGGTGGGTGATTTTTATTTTTATTTTTTGCCAATTAGTATTTTTAATTTTTATAATGAAACTGTTTTCTAATCAGAACAAAAATGATAACACTGGGTTAAAATATACCTCTTCATAGGTTTTCCAGAACAATCCCTATTAAATAGCCCATTTCTATATTTAGGCAGTTTACAGAGCTAGCTGGCTTTTTCTTAATCTTAGAAAGCAGCTTATTTTCTGAAATCCTCACATTTTATCCAGGCTTATTCCTCAGTGAACAATCATGCACAGTCTGTTCAGGATTGTGATAAGTAAATGAAGTGAAAATCAAAATGAGGTAACTATTATATGCTGTCTGTCACTCATGTATTTTTCAGGTAAACTGTGGTTTCATTCTTCTTGAAATATAATAAGAACCAAACCAGAAATCTTGTTGCTCCCTAGTAGAAATGAAGCTAGCAGGAACAGCCCTGTCTTCAGAGTCTTCCCAAGCCTCCAATTTGAGAAGAAAACTTGCTAAAATCCTAGCATTCATTCTGAATGCTCTAATAATTCCCATGAGCAGTAAACGTATTTTATTTCTCAGTGTCAGGCATTTATTACTGAAGAATGCAATGCCTGTATTTCAAGACATTAACAAAAGTTACGTTTGGTTGGCCAACAATTGTGCATTAATGCTCCTCAAGAGGAATGCTGAGTGTATGTGTAGTGTGATAGAGACCCATTCTTCCAGCCTAGACTGCCAAATATATTCAGTGATGCATTTGATTTAAAATAGTGAAATGAATATGCCCAGGGGAAGCATTAGACATCTTGAATACCATAGTTCAAAGTATATAAAAACAGCAATGTCTGAATAACCTGAGAATTGGAAGAAGGGAACAGTGTAGATTTGTTCTGTCCATTTGTAGATTCGTTCCCCCTTTTTTTGTTACATCAACTGTATACAGAATTTGTCAAAATCCAAAATGTAATACAACTGTAGTACTTTGTTAAAAAATAGGTACAGATTCTCAACCATCTAGAATACTAATTTGGGCTGTGTTTTGAAAATATAATCCTACCAAAATACTACCCCTATAAAATCAAGCTTAAAAACCATTAAATAAATAGTTTTAAAAGTTTTTTTTATGGTCTATCTACAGTGAAATAGAGAAGGGTTTAAATAAATTCTGTTAACTCAGTTTTGGAGAGTATCCTAGAAAAATATAATCCTTGGGAAGTTTTGAAAGACTTGGAAAAGTTATATTAAGAAAATAGAATGAAGTATCCCAGAATTATCCTGCCCATGAGGGAAGGTGTAATAAAAAGAAAGAATTTTCCTTTTAATCTATTGTACCCAGAAGGAAGATACTTTTCTAGAACCTTCTGTGATTCACAACAGAGAAGCAAAACCAATGTTACTGGTAAACAAGCAGGAAGTTATTTATCTCTTCACTTGTCATAAAATAATTCAAATCATTTTGGTTTACTTTATGGTGAAATAAAATGAAATACACTGAAAGTAATACACTATTTAATTTATTTCTCTTAATTCAATTCCAGCAATCAAAATAGGAATGGGAATATTTTGTATTTCCTGCCAAGGGCTTTTCTCTAAATTGAATTGTTTTCACAAAATACTCAACACAAAAGCCTGCATACTGCTGATCTGCAAAAAGAAGGCTAATCATCAGAGGTTTTTCTACTGGACAAACATTTAATTAATACCCACTTGGCCTGATTTACTTGGTTCAACCAAAGTTACTAAGGATTATTATGGGATATATAAATTTCATTCAATTTTTTTTACTTGATACACTATCTAGAAGCATTTCCAATTGTTTATAAATTGAGAGTCCACATCTCTTCATGGCTATTCTTTTCCTTCTCTTGGTATCCCCCTTTCAGAACTTATCCAGCACAGTGTATGTGCCCCTATTTTAACATTCATTGCATTTATTATAGCTACCAGTTCATTGCTCCTGCTAGCCTCTGCTCTCAGACATGGCACGAATACTATCTCGTATTTATTTTTCAGTACATAACATTTAATAAAGTGCCTGGCATATGTAGGTGGTCAATAAACATTTGTTGAACAAAGTAATTAATAAAGTACCTCCAAGAAGCTATACCTCATCTACAAAATGCAAGGTATTATTATTGATGATTGATCTATTCATTTAACATGAGGATGGGAACATTGAGTGAAATTTAGATTTCCCCCCCAACTCAATAATATACAAAACCGTACTTAAAAAGACAAAAGACTTAATTAGAAATGGAGAAAGAGGCTTTTCATGGGATGCAGCTGTGTGAGCGTGGGGTGGGTGGTGCCCCTCCGCGTGGATGTTCTTCCCTAGGAGGATTCAGCTCCGCTAGCTCTGACACTGAGCTGGCACTATGAAACAAAACATTCTTGAATTATTGTTATAGTACAGCTTTATTCTCTAGTTAAATAAGGAATATTTTTATTAAGATAGAAGGAGGGTCCAGATGAAGTAGTTACAAAGCCCTTCTCTATGGAAAAATTTTTCCCCATAATACACATGCCTGTGACTCTTATTTGTGGAGTCAAATTCTCCTAGGACCTTAAACTCTTTCCTAGATGTAAATCATTCAGCTTTCACGTTTTCTTTAGGCCAAGAGACTCAACTGGCTCTTTCCAAGTTCAATCTGATACTGTCCAACTCACATTCAAGAGTTGTTTTTTCAAAACATCATCTGATTTTAATACAAGCTTTGTGCATTAAAAATTCCTCTTCATACATATATCCCCCAATAAAAAATATTAAATATAATATACACAATGGGAAATAAAATCCTAGAATAGGTGTCAATGACATGGTTGTTTTCCAGAATGATTCTACCAACATGTCCTCCTAGAGATTTTCTTCTCTTTATCTGAGATGAATCTGTGCCGGGGCTGCCTGTACATTTTCCTCTCATGGAGTCTTCTTCTGAGTGCAGAGAAAAGGAAGTCTGGTCCATGTCACTGTCATGGTAACAACCATCGAAGGCCATGGCTTGAACTGCCTTCATATTGTACATTCCAGAAATCTGTCAAAAAAACCTTTTTTTTTTTAGTAGGTCATGAATATGGTTTTATGAACAGGAATTACAGTAAAAATGTGAATAATCAGATTTTTAAAATAGGTAATTTCAATAAAGGCTAAGAATGTTTTGCTTAAAGAATAGAATTCTGGTTTTGCTTCTGGTGTCTAAAAGTCATTTTAATAATAAATGGAAAATATCATTTTACAGATCCTGTTTTTAATAGGGATTTAGCAAGGAGGTTTATATTTATTTCCATACAAATATTTTATTATCATACAAGTAAATGTTACACAACTATGATGTCAGCATTTTCTAATTTAGTCTTAGCCTGATAGACTGTTATACACTGTGCATGTTTTCTCCTTTGTTTCTGAGTAGTATGAATGGTTTGTGATAAGTTTGAGAGTTGAAGTTGAATATGATTTATCTGAACAGCAATATAAGTCAATTGGATTTGCTTATCAACTTATTTTTCCTCTTTAGAGAGAATATAGCAGTGGGCCCAGTCAATGTAATATTTTGTCCAAAAACAGAACAATATCATCTGGTGATCCATTTATGCTTAAATTGGGGATGGGTTAGGGAGAGATCTTAGCTACTCCATTTAAATGCAAATTGGCCAGGCCTTCTCATTTTTGCTTAAAAGGACCTATAAATGATGCTGACATAGACCAATTAAACAATATGAAATTGGTTTATATTTCTGAAGGAGCAAGTTATCAGTGCTTTCTGGCTTATGTGGCTGATTGAATCAAAACTAAATTTTTCTTTACAGTTTTACTCAGAGGGAGATTGTGGTTCTCACTGGTTTTAGAGCAGTGTCTGCAAAGCAGCTGTTACTAATTGCTTTTGGAAAAAAACAATATCACTTCTTGATCTATAGGGAAGTTCAAAGTG